GGCCGAGGGAAAGGCTCGCCGGCGGAGCAGCGGATCTCACGCTCACACGCACGTGCTTCAGGACCAGGCTCCTCGCTGCGGTCGCCGCCATCGAGAGTTATAGAGAGGGAGAGAGAGAGAGGTAGGGAAGAAAGGACGAGGAAATACTGGAACCCTCGTATCGCATTTAAAAGGTAAATTTCTCCAAACCCCGCGATACTGTTGAGCATAACCGACAAGCCCTCAGAAATAAATGAAGAAAAGATAGGACAATTTTTGAAAACAGACCCCTTTACAAATTTATTCCCAAAAAAGATCTGTTTCCACTTTACTTTTAGGGGCTGTTCGTTTCGCAAAAAAAATGAGAAATCAAAGAATAGGAAACCTATTTTCTATAATAATTGTTTTGAGGTTGTTTGGTTGGTTTAAAAAAGAAGGAAATTATAGAATAGGAGATGAGATGAGATGAGTTGTCACTTTATTATTGGATGATGTGAGTGATTTTTTTAAAAAAATTGTTTTGAGGTTGTTTGGTTGGTTAAAAAAATAAGGAAATGAATTGAAGGTATATTATTGGATAATGTTTCGAGGTTGTTTGTGTTTGGTTCATTTTTAAAAATAAGAAAATAGATGAGATGAGATGAGTTGGAGGTATATTATTGGATGATGTGACACATACTTAAGGAAATCAGTTTCTTGTTTTTTTTTTTTAGGAAATGGATGGAAAGGAAGATTTAATGAGATGAGATGAGTTGTTATAATATTATTGGATGATGTGTGCGATTTTTAAAAATGAGATAAGATGAGATGTGATAAGTTGAATGATGTGACACATTTCTTGTGTTTGGTTTATTTTTAAAGGTAAGAAAGGAGATGAAATGAGATGAGTTGGATGATAAAAATAATATTTTATTCGATGTTATGGGTGAGTTTTAGGGATGGAAATGGATAAAAATATTATTTTATTGATTTCCTTGTACCGATTTCATTTTCTTTGATTTTAGGAAACCAACCAAATGGACCCTTAAAAAACGATCTAGTTTTAGCTATAGTGCTGAAACTGGGTCGTTTTTTGGAAAAAATATTCCCAAACTTCCCGTGAAGTTTTTCCATAACAAAACTTGTCAAAACCCCCCAATATTATTGAGCATAACCGAGAAGCCCCCAGAAATAAATGAAGAAAAGATAAAAGGCCCAGGATAACGTTGCTCTCTCTCACTCTCACCCTATGAAAGGCGAATGGGAGTCATCTCTCGTCACGCTCAGCACCCTCAAATCTCGCCTCCTCTCTTCTCCTCTGCAGCGGACCGCCGCCTTTGCTGTCCTGCGCCGTCTAAGGCCAGAGATGGGCTCGGCGGCCGCGCCGTGGCGAGCGGTAGCAGCGGAGCGCGCGACGGTCGGTCCAAATGGCGCCGTCCCCAGCCAGGATGCGGCAGGAATGGCTCGGAGAGGTCGTTCTATGGGCGCCAGTACTTCCCTCTAGCCGCGGTCGTCGGCCAGGTATACGCTCACCTCTTACTGCTTTCTGTTGATTCAGATTTCTTAAATTGCGCGCAGTGAGTGATTCTGATTATTTCTTGAATTGCGGCGGCATGTTAGAATATAAAAAATATAAACTTTTGGGTGGTCTTCTGATTATTTATTGTGCTCTTAATATTTGTAAATCGAGGTTCCGTTACCTTTTGGGTCGTATTGTCTAGGATGCCATCAAAACGGCTTTGCTCCTTGGTGCTACCGACCGCGAGGTTGGAGGGATCGCCATCTCCGGTAAGCGGGGGACTGCGAAGACGGTGATGGCACGGGGATTGCACGCCATCCTTCCTCCGATCGAGGTGACTGTTGGCTCCATATCAAATGCGGACCCCTCTTGTCCCGAAGAGTAAGATCGTTGGCATTTTCCTTCCGAGTTTTGATATGAAATTTGAATTTGTAGAGTTACATCTGATTCTACCTTGATGTTTGGTGCACATCATGCAAGTATTGGAAGACATTTGGAGTGTCGCCTAGTTTGGGGCACATCATCTGATTCTACCTTGATGTTTGATATGAAATAACTGACTTTTGGCGGATTTTTATTACTTGGATCATTTACCTGTAATTACTAGGCTTGTATCAATCACAGAATTCTACAATAATTTTATGTGTTGATAAGAAAACCCGTCTTTTCAGATGTTTTGTCACTGATTTATACTGTTGGCGCATTCTACTTATTCAGGGTCCTGTTGTATCGAGAAGCTTTGGCTTCATATTCTATATTATTTATCCGCTATTTCTGTAAGTAGGCTGTGTATATAATAAATCAGCTGATGTGTAGAGAAGCTCTCTAATTCCATTTTGTTATATCGAGGTTTCTGGTTATAGCATTTCATCTGAAAAAATCTAATTGACTGCTAATAGTATGAGTTTTTTTTTATAGATATTCATGCATTCTTCCGGGTTGAAATTTCAATACCCGTGCTTTCTAATGTTTTAAATTGTCCCGCCTCTTTTAGATGGGAAGATGGATTAGCTGAAAGGGTAGAATATGATGCCTCTGGTAATCTGAAGACTGAAATTGTGAAGTCACCTTTTGTCCAGGTATAGCTTACCGAAGTGAACTATTATAGAATGTATCCTGCAATTGTCAACCGGTAGATAATATAAGTTTCTTAACATGTCACAGATTCCACTTGGTGTCACAGAAGATAGACTAATAGGATCCGTTGATGTTGAGGAGTCTGTAAAATCTGGAACAACAGTATTCCAACCAGGGTTACTTGCTGAAGCCCACAGAGGAGTATTGTATGTTGATGAAATAAACCTTTTAGATGAGGGTATTAGCAATCTGCTTCTAAATGTCCTGACCGAAGGAGTTAATATTGTGGAAAGAGAAGGGATAAGCTTTCGTCATCCATGTAAACCGCTACTTATTGCTACTTACAATCCTGAAGAAGGGTCTGTACGAGAACACCTATTGGATCGCATTGCAATAAACCTAAGGTACTTAAAATTATTATTACATCTTACAACCCTATAAAGCATCAAGGATCTGGAATTTTATAAACTGGGTCGTCTATAGCAATCTTATCAAGTGCTAAGCGTCATTATCCAAAATTGTTGGTCATTGTCTTATTTCATTATCCTCAACTCCCGTGGACCTTTCTTATGCAGCGCAGACCTTCCAATGAGTTTTGATGACAGAGTAGCAGCTGTAGGAGTTGCGACACAGTTTCAAGAATCCAGCAATGAGGTGTTCGAAATGGTGGAAGAAGAAACTGAAGTTGCTAAAACTCAGGTAATTTTGTAAGTCAAGTGATACCTATTTACCACTAATTAATCGAAACCACAACGGATATGCTGCATATGATCATGACAAAATTATTTGTAAACCTTTGATTCATAAGTAGCATGTCATAATGATGTAATTGTTTTTAATTGTACAAACAATTGAATATACAAATATGTATACTTTACATATTTCATGTAACATCTAGTGATTGCTGAGGTGCTAAGCCAATTTTCTTTTATAGATAAAGATGCAAATATGTTCAAGCACTTAATTTATTAACGTAGAGTACTTCTGTAATTATGATTCTTATTTTATTTCTATTTGAACTATTTCAACAAGTTTGCGCCCATCTCGAGGTAACTGTTTGTTGTCAGACCATGACTAGTTTCGAAGTACGGGAAATCTAGCAAGTAGTAATGAGGTTGCTCGATTCGGTTTCAGCTAGGACTTGATCGTTTCATGGAAAAGTTATATGCCATTTTCACTACTAGTTTCTTATGAGAATTTTGGTAAAAATCTGTCTTTATGCTTATGCAATGATGAGATTTTCTTTCTTCAGTACTGTGAAGGTTTTTAATTATGAACCTAAGAGATATTGGATCTGGAGATTGAATGGCTAAATTCTGCTCTTCCAGATCATTTTGGCAAGAGAGTATTTAAAGGATGTGAGCATGAACAGAGATCAACTAAAATATCTGGTCATGGAAGCAGTGCGAGGTGGTTGCCAGGTTCATTTGTTGAATCCTTGTTATATGCTTGATCTTTCTTTGTATGCTTATTTGTTCCCCTGTAAACATTTTACTTAATTAGTGGTTTCTATCATTTTCTGAAGTTAAGCTCACTTGCTTCTATTCCTACTTCCTAGGTTGTACTTCTAGTCTAGGAAATAGATTTTTGTTGGCTAATTGTTGTTATCTAATTCAGCAGGTTAACTTTGAAAGTCCTATATTTAATCTAATGAACCTTGAGGTTGCAAGTAATAACTTCTGATACCTGTGCTTTCAGCGACAAAAATATGGAAGGTTCATCTCTCTCTTAATTCTGTGTCAAAAGTTTTGGAAGTTTGTTACAAGAGAGCACAATTCTTGTCCTTCCGAACTATAAGTGACATCATAATGACCATTATTTCATCCTCTTCTGGGACATGAAATAAATGTTGTTGATAATTCATTACACCTCATAATGGATCTCTAATGAATGCTGACTTGTCTTTCCAAGGTTGGCAAGAGGTTGATCCAACACCAAGTTCCATGGACTCAATATTGCATAGGAAACCATCTGCATGACCGTCTTGTTCAACTGACCTCATTCTGGTGTCCCATTCTTTTCCCCCCTTTATGTTAGTCATGACTTGATATTGAACATGGTGAGTTGGCAAGTCTGATTCTACTGAATATCTCTCTCCATTTCCCATTGCTACACACACACGCATAGCCACCCACGCACGCACACGCACATATTTCTCCCTCAAGAGAACCCACCGACCCTACAGGAAAAGAAAAGTGAGTTAAATTCTTTTCAATGTTTTCTAATTTGTAAATTCCTCAGGATTTTCCTGTCCTGTGAATATTATTGCTACTGGGGAATGTGTCATAAGTTACTGTTTCCATTACATACCCCAATGGAATTGTACAGCAAACTGCTTGCATTTTGGATTATTCTCCCTAGAATTTTATTTGTTAACCTAAATCCTAAATGTCTCAACATGGTATCATGGCACATCTGATACTTCTTCCTGAGTTTCACTTTTTCTTTTTGCAAATTTTCTGAAGAGGGAATTCAATTGTGAATATTGCAAACCTCTCAACTTAAACCTATTGTGTAATGAGGATGTTGAGTTACTTTGACTCGGCAAAATTCATTTAGATGCTCCTTATCAAGCTTCACCTGGGTATCATAGAAAGTGATTAGTTAAGCCAGCATGCATGTAAATCATGCTTCTATAAAAATAAAAACTGCTATTTGCCATCTTTTAAAATCACTGCACTGTGCACAGGGTCATCGAGCTGAGCTGTATGCTGCACGGGTGGCTAAATGTTTGGCTGCGTTGGAGGGACGCGAAAAAGTTTATGTCGACGACCTCAAGAAAGCTGTTGAGTATTGTTTTCTCATAAAATTATTTATTGCTTTAGCTTGTAATTGATATATTCTTAAATCCATAACCTCTGTGTGTGTGTATTTGCGTGTGTGCGTATTTGCGTGTGTGCGCGTGTATACTTTTCAAACCCGTATGAGAAATAATGAACTTGTACAAACCATAACATACATCTCCACGCTAGGTGTTTGCATGATCGAACCATATCATACATCTCCAGCCTAGATGTTTGCATAATTGAAGTTTACCAACCAGAAAGTTGAATAAAATATATATATATATAGTACTCATGATATTTAAATCCTATTTTGCTCACCACAGGTAGAGCTGGTCATTCTTCCTCGTTCGATTGTCAATGATAACCCACAAGATCAGCAAAATCAGCCACCACCTCCACCTCCTCCTCCCCCTCCACAAAATCAGGACTCTGGTGAGGATCAGAACGAGGAAGAAGAGCAGGTTTGCTGAAAATATTCAACCGTATTTAATTCTTTTGAAATCCGGTTTAATATAGTATTCTCTCCATTTCTATGCTGCCCGTCAAAGATGAAGTTTATGATTTATCTATGAACAGGAGGACGAGGACCAGGACGAGAAGGAGGACCAGGAAAATGAGCAGCAAGAGCCCCAAATACCAGAGGAATTCATCTTTGATGCTGAAGGTGGCCTTGTAGATGAAAAGCTCCTTTTCTTTGCACAACAAGCGCAGAGGAAGAAAGGGAAAGCTGGAAGAGCTAAGAATGTAATATTTTCAGAGGATAGGGGGCGGTACATAAAGCCCATGCTCCCCAAGGTATCCTCTTGTTCTTCATAGTTTTCATAATATTCTGTGGTCATATATGATATCCTTCGATTAAAATATGTATAGGGAACATGATGAAGTGTTCAATAAAGACACGCCCATTTGACTCACAGTAGGAGTTGAAATAATCCACGTTTTATATGTATTTGCTCCTTGGTTTGGGATTTGACTAGTCATCCAATGCAGGGCCCTGTAAGACGACTTGCTGTTGATGCAACACTCAGAGCAGCTGCACCTTACCAAAAGCTAAGGAGGGAAAAAGATACTCAAAAGACTAGAAAAGTTTTTGTAGAAAAAACTGATATGAGAGCAAAAAGAATGGCTCGGAAAGCAGGTGCCCTGGTATGTTAGTATGAAAGTTAATGATTTACCATGAGTTCTTTTTTTTCTTTTGCTTGACAACATACTAGGTCACGGGAGATATTTAATTATGGAATAATTCAAGTTATCATTTGTTTTCTTTAAGGTTTGCTGGAGCTGCACATGCTACTGATTTTTGGCCCTTGTGTACACCTCCATGAGATTCCTGTAAGACGACTTTCTGTTGGTGCAACACTCAGAGCAGCTACACCTTACCAAAAGGCTTTTTTTCTTTTTTTCTATTTGAACTAAAAGACTAGAAAGATACTCAAAAGATACTCAAAAGACTAGAAAAGTTTTTGTAGAAAAAACTGATATGAGAGCAAAAAGAATGGCTCGGAAAGCAGGTGCCCTGGTATGTTAGTATGAAAGTTAATGATTTACCATGAGTTCTTTTTTTTCTTTTGCTTGACAACATACTAGGTCACGGGAGATATTTAATTATGGAATAATTCAAGTTATCATTTGTTTTCTTTAAGGTTTGCTGGAGCTGCACCTGCTACTGATTTTTGGCCCTTGTGTACTATTATATAAGTCATGTTTTTGTGTGAGTTTTTTCAAAAATTATTTTATGGCAGGTAATCTTCGTTGTTGATGCCAGTGGCAGTATGGCATTAAACCGTATGCAAAATGCTAAAGGTGCAGCATTGAAACTATTGGCAGAAAGCTATACTAGCAGAGATCAGGTATGATGTAAATTATGTCTCCATTCAGATGCATTTACAGCATCTCACATGTTAATGGTACCGTGTTTTATTACAATTGAGATAATGCATTATGCATACTTACTATAAAGTTGAATTATGTGTTACTTTGGCATACTATGTTAATGCTTGCCTCATTTCAAGTCATCTAATCCTTTGTATTGCATCTAAAATGTAGAGAAACATTCTTTAATCATTCTCTCTTAAAACTTCAATTTCTCTTTTATCAGGTATCCATCATTCCTTTCCGTGGAGATTATGCAGAAGTTCTACTTCCCCCTTCGAGATCAATTGCAATGGCTAGAAACCGTCTTGAGAGACTCCCGTGTGGTGGTGGTTCACCATTAGCTCATGGTCTTAGCACTGTAAGATCTACTATTTATCTTATATATTTACTTATATATTCTACAAGTCACCCTTTTTTTAATTTTTTTTTAGGCTGTTAGAGTTGGGCTTAATGCTGAAAAAAGTGGAGATGTTGGTCGTATTATGATTGTTGCAATTACTGATGGAAGGGCTAACATATCCTTGAAACGATCTACTGACCCAGAAGCTGCTGCTTCTGCTGATACTCCCAAACCTTCATCCCAAGAATTAAAGGTAACAATTAATCTTAGTGACCAGTATGTTTATCATATTGACTCTTATAACGTACCAAATGATCAGTTATTACCTTCTCTAATGACACATTTCTTTGGAATTTCTGATAAACTTCATATTTCTGTTCTCATTACGTTGAGCAAGCATGTAAAGATTTGCATGTATTCTGGATACAATTAGGTTAATTATTTTAGAGGTGAGAATTGTTTCAATCACATAAAAGAACTACTTTGTTGAATCCACTTTCATAATTTTGATAAAGTTGACATAAAGAATCTTTTTAATTCTTAATCTTAATAACTGCACTCTATTTTGAAATGCTAAAAGAATTTTTTTAATCAAATATGATGAAAATTCTTGGCGCCTCTCTTTTTGTACTCGTAGCAATTTGATACTAGTAATGTCAAAGACAGACAGTCTATAGGCTTCACTTTTCAAACCAGAGGCGAAAAAAAGAAAAAAAAAGAAAAAGGTTGTTTTATAGGTTGGATACAAAACTATCTAACTTCGATGAAAGTAGCTATGTATAAGCATTTATGCGTCTGAAGTCGAAAAGGAGTAGCATGTACTGAGGTTTAATATTGTTACCTGTTAGTGGCTTCTATGGGTAATGGCCAAGTACTAGGTGAATTCTATGCTGCATGTTTATCTGTTTCATATAATAGAATAAGTATCCTGTTCACAACAACTTATATTTCTTATGATCAAGATTGTGAATGTGATCTCATGAACATTTAGGTCTCAATCTCTTAAAGCATACAGAACGAGAATCCAGTTAAGAGTATCATAGCATTTTTGTTACTTATGAAACTCAGATCAACTTAAATCCTCGACTGTTCTCAGCCCCTATATGTTTGGGAGTTGTACAAGTCATCTTTTGCATGGTTAAATCATGAAATGTATGCTTCAGATACTCATTACGTTATTTTGATCTTCAAGGATGAAATCTTAGATGTTGCTGGAAAGATATACAAAGCAGGCATGTCTCTTCTAGTTATAGATACTGAAAACAAGTTTGTCTCTACTGGGTTTGCAAAGGAGATTGCAAGAGTAGCTCAAGGTACATTATCTTATCCCAACTGATGATTTTTTTATGGGTTAGTTGCAGTTACACCCCCATAATATATTGGTGAACCCACTTACAACCCTTAAACTATTTTATTAGCACTTGCACTTGAACCTCAGATTGGCGTCACCTTTTTTGCGCTCAATTTAGGGCAATTTGCTATTAAACTGAGGGCAAAATTATCGTCAGCTGATCCCATGTGATATCTCAATCAAACAGGAGAAATAATATTGTCTGGAGTTTTAGGAGTGTAATTTCTAATATAATAATTGAGAGGGTATTTCTGAAATTAACGTCTTTTTTATTTTACCTAGATGAATTCCAATTCCTTTCTTTCTCATTTGATCTTACAGGGAAATATTATTACTTGCCAAATGCTTCTGATGCTGTCATCTCTGCTGCCACAAAAGAGGCATTATCAGCCTTGAAAAGTTCATGATTTTGAAATTAGTATAGGAAAGGTAGGTAGTGTTTGTATTCTTTGTTAATAACCTTGTTGTTGTATATTTTTGGTCAATCTTCATCACAAGCCTTTGTACAAGCCCTTTTTCCCCTTATTGCTTGTTTGATGAATAATTGTCAAGTGTTGCGTCTTTTGTCTAGGGTAAGTTGACCTGAAAAACAACAGGAACATTATGAGAAATACAAATTGATCTCCTGGTTTCATCGGCATCAATGATTCATTCTTTTTTCCTTGCAGATATCTAGCTACTATCAACTCGAAGAATATTGTGTAGAGTAATGGTAATGATACGAAAATTTCTATACTATGGTACTACAAAGCACAAATATATGTAGTTTCGAGAATTATAATTTCTGAAAGCAGTTCACGAGGAAGGATCTCCCAACAGTTTTGCATCTTGCAGTACAAAATTAGTATGAAATTTGTTGGTACGTTTAGCAGTACTCTATTTTCTACCCGCGTGAGAATTTTCATTGAATGCTATAGCTGCATGTTGGACACCCAGATCATGCTTCTTACCTTGGCACTACAGTTAGTCGAGAAAACTACACAAATAATGATGTCCATTCTCAAGCTCAAAATGATTGAAGGTATATAGATGGAGTAAAAATTTATGTAGTTATAGGAACCTTGGGAGCCAAAAAAGTGAAGAATTTATCAGAGAATATAATGATTCTATGTAGTAACTGACAGATGCATTTTGATTTATATTGTGTATATAGCCATAGAATTTTTGATGCAGTGACAGATACTTAGATCAGTAGTCAATTTAACAAATGCTGCATTTATTTATTTATTTTGGAAGTAGGTTTGCGATGTAAGAAACAAGCTTGAAAACAGAAATGGTCCAAGCCTACGATGGCTTCAAGTGTACATAATGATCCTGTGAAGGTTAACTTTAATATTGTTTATTTATTTATTTATTTATTTATATTTTTCATAGTATTGACTTTAAATTTATATCTCATGTTAAGGTGGCATATACTATTGTCTCCTGATGATGACTTGGTAGTTGGTAGTTCACCAAACCAGGCTTTTGTCGCATAAATTCCTCTTCTCCCATGTGGTGGAGGGATCATTATGAGGCATCATCATCCTAATATTTAGCATCTGTAAATATTATTTAAAAGGATTTGGAATCTTTCTATGGGCTGATTTATTATTTAATAAATGATGTAATTTCTCCTGATTTGAGGAGTGGAAGTGAGTGTAATTTGTTGGGCATATAATGATAGTTATATCTGAAAAATATTGTAAATTACAAGTTCCTTTTACCCTCTTTGACCTCTCAAGGAGTGACCAGTGTTACAGTCAAACCATCTTTGCATCCATTAATATTTCTAATTTCCTTCAGAGCAGCAATTAGATTATCTTAATCTATATTTAATCAGAACCAGACCTAGGATTTTGGTTTTTTTTTCTTTTTCTTTCTTTCTTTTCTTTATTTTCGCTGGTGACGCGGCGCGGAAGTGATAACCTCGGAATCCACCAAGGGTGTTCTCTGAATCCATAAAGAACGATCTTCGAGTTCACAAAGAACTTCGAATCCACGAAGAAAATATTGAAAAGAGAAATTTTATTGATGAAAAGTTATTCTCTTTTTGGGTTACATGATTCTTCTTAAATAGAAAAACAAATAAGACTCCTAGTAAGATTAGAATTACAAAAATAGAAAGTATCAAATAATAGTAAGATTAGAATTACAAAAATAGAAAGTATCAAATAAGACTCCTAGTAAGACTAGAATTACAAAAATAGAAAGTATTAAATAACACTCCTAGTAAGACTAGAATTACAAAAAAAAGAAAGTGTCAAATTCTATCCTAAAAAAAGACTCATTATAATAGAGGAAACAAATCATGAATCAAAATTAATTTTGTTTCCTTATCTAATTTGACTCTAAAATTGAATTTATTTCCTAATCTATATTTCCTAATCTAAATAGACTCCAACTTAGATTAAGCGTTCTACATCAGTCTCCCCTTGTTGAAAGAAGCTCGACCCCGAGCTTATATTTGTTAGAATAGTAGTTTCATTGATAAATATCTTTCTTAACATGCATCGATCAGCACCCGTCTTGTACTTAGCATTGATTTTCTCCATTTGTTCTTTTACCGTCTCCGCTAGGGCCTCTTCTGAATCAAATTCATATATTATTCATTCTGACATCATGTGTATTTTATCGGCGGCATGTGGATGTGCAGTTGACTTCAAAAACTCTTCAAAATATGTTCTATGTTGCTGTTGCGCGCAGCGAAAATTTTGGCAGCACTTCGGCAGCACAACAAGAGAGTCAGGTCGCAATAAGAATTCCCGTCTCATCAAAGAAACAAGAATCTGAAGCGAATATCTCAACAAAGTGAGATATCGGCTCTTCCTCTCATCAGTTCTAGGACTGACATGTCGAGGGATCTTAAAAGGCTATTACAAATCACACAAAAGTGATATAACCAATTTTACGTGGTTCCGTAAATTGCCTACGTCCACGGGGCAAGATGGTTCCGAGCAACAAGTTTGATCATTGTCGAAACTTGTTACACATTCGTGATTGTTGAGGCCATTGGCGGCCATTTGGGTGAACTACATTCGGCTTGATTCCTTGGGCAAGAGGATACGTAGGCAGTCTTTCAGATGCAATCGGTTTGGATTAGTTGATTTTGATGGGGGTGAGATTGTTTGGACTCTCATTCGGATCCTCGACTTGTTGTGGATTGAGTTCGTACTGGACACAAGTTGGGACATTTGGTTGCTTTGGTGTCGGCTCAGTTTTGAAAGAAACTTCACCGAGGTGGAGAATTGTGAAGGAACGCGTTAGTGGGAGGTGGGCCAGACCCACGTAAAAGCGCAGAACCACATGACGTGGTTCCGTGTGAAGAGAAGAAGCCGGGCGCGTTTTGATTTTAACCGCTGGCCCACGAATGTTTTCATCAGGCTATAAATAGCCATATTATTTTGCCCTAGGTTTGCGGTGTGAGAGGGGCGAAACGTAGTCGCTTAGGAGAAAGAAAAAAAAACGCATCCGTCCTTTTTGAAGAAAAAGTGATTTTTTGAGCAGTCCTTTTTTTAAGGGTTTTGTGCATCCTTTTGTAGAGAGATATTGTGAGGGATTTGAGAGTTTGTTTGAGGGTTTAGGTTGTGAATGGTTGTAAACCCTAGTTGTATCTCTCCCTCTAATAGTAGATCTCCCCCCTCCTTGCCCCGCGGACGTAGGCAATTTGCTGAACCACGTAAAATTGGTTGTATCGCTTTTGTGTGATTTGTAATAGCCTTTTAGGATCCCTCGACAGGTCAGTCCTAGAACTGATGAGAGGAAGAGCCGATATCTCACTTTGTTGAGATATTCGCTTCAGATTCTTGTTTCCTTGGTGAGACGGAAATTCTTATTGCGACCTGACTCTCTTGTTGTGCTGTCGAAGTGCTGTCGAAATTTTCGCTGCGCGCAACAATCTACTATTAGAGAGAGAGATATAACTAGGGTTTATAATCATTCACAACCTAAACCCTCAAACAAACTCTCAAATCCCTCACAATATCTCTCTACAAAAGGATGCACAAAACCCTTAAAAAAAGGACTGCTCAAAAAATCACTTTTTCTTCAAAAAGGACGGCTGCGTTTTTTTTTTCTTTCCCTCAAGCGACTGCGTTTCACCCCTCTCACACTGCAAACCTAGGGCAAAATGATATGGCTATTTATAGCCTGATGAAAACATTCATGGGCCAACGGTTAAAATCAAAACGCGCCTGACTTCTTCTCTTCACACGGAACCGCGTCATGTGGTTTTGCGCGTTCACGTGGGTCTGGCCCACCTCCCACTAACGCGTTCGTTCACAGTTGCTTCTCATGTTCTAGTGCTTGAAGTATCATCAAATCCTTTTTAAAATTATTCACCAACTTTGCTTCTAGGGAAGAAAATCCTGTGTCATACTCCATATACAAATCTTTCATCTCCTTTGTCTCTAGCTCTACACCAAACAATTCACACATATCATCAATTGTCTCACTTTCTAATTTATCCTTCTCCTCCATCGGGACAACATCAATATGTGTAATATCGCTCTTAACCCCTTTGAGAATATCATGCATATCATCCATCTTCACTATCATATCACCATAATGAATCTCATGCATAACGATTGTTTGCACCTTAGGATGAATTTCGGTAGGGGTAGGTTCTTCTTTTTTAGTTACAACCAAGTAATAGACCTCTTCAGATTGCTTCAAGTTTTCTGCTAAAGCCTCGTTGTTTGCCACCAAAGGTTTCTTCTCCTCAGTAGCTTTTATCTTAGATGACTCTTTTTCTGTAAGAGGCAGAAGTACAATTCGTCATCCATCTTTCTTGAAGATATAAACATTGTCTCTACTTTTGTGGGTAACTCCAACATCGAATTGCCATGGCCTTCCTAAAAGCATATGACAAGTATCCATCTCGACCACATCACAGAACACATCATCAAAATACTTGTGACCGATAGAAAAAGGTACACGACACATCTCATCGTTCTACACGTCATCGCCCTTGTGAATCCAGTCGATCTTGTAGAGAGGTGGGTGTTTCTCTGTCTTCAAACCTAACTTATTCATCATACGTCGAGAGACAAGATTCTTTCTACTATGATTGTCAATAATAACATCACAAATCTTCTGCATCACAGTGCACCTCGTGCGGAAGATATTATACTCTGGAGGTGATTCTTCTTTCTTTATTGCTTCTTTAGTGCTCTTCCCAACTCCAAGGTCTTGTTTAGGGTCATTGTCGCTATTGAATTCATCATGTGGAGTCGAATCACGTCGCTGGCGGCGATCAACGCGATTTCGAACTCCTCTCGTGTTCAGACGCTCCACTGCCGAAGCAAGTCACTCTACAACAGTCTTCATCTGATTAACATCGGTCTTCAGCACGTCGAACTCAGTTCGAGAAATAGGGGCTTCATCACCTGCCATCGGATCGGAGGAACAAGACTCTGATACCAATTGACGTAGCGCGAAAGTGATAACCTAGGAATCCACCAAGGGTGTTTTCTGAATCCATAAAGAACGATCTTCGAATCCATGAAGAACTTCAAATCCACGAAGAAAATATTGAAAAGGAAAATTTTATTGATGAAAAGTTATTTTCTTTTGGGGTTACATGACTCTTCTTAAATAGAAAAACAAATAAGACTCCTAGTAAGACTAGAATTACAAAAATAGAAAGTATCAAATAAGACTCCTAGTAAGACTAGAATTACAAAAAAAAGAAAGTGTCAAATTCTATTCTAAAAAATACTCCTTATAATAGAGGAAACAAATCATGAATCAAAATTAATTTTGTTTCCTAATCTAATTTGACTCTAAAATTGAATTTATTTCTAAATTTATATTTCCTAATCTAAATAGACTCCAACTCAGATTAAGCGTTCTACAACAGCTGGGTCCAGTTGGATCTTAATTACCAAACAGTTTGAGAGCGTCACTCACAAATATGAAAAATATTCTGAGCTTACTGAAGGAAACTTGGCGGTAAAGAGCAAGAGAGAAACTAAAAAAGTTTTTTAAAAAAAGTATTTTATTTTCCCCCCCAATGAATTGATAAGATGGATGACTCCCATCACCGTGTAACTCTTTTCTTAGAAGGGATATGTTGCTAGATTGTCAAAATTTTCTTGATGCTATTCTTCCTTCCAAACTACTTTTAGTAAATAAATGATGCTAAGTGCTATCTTGAATTTATATAGGATCCATTAGAACCTATATTTGCAATATTGAAGGAGGGTAAATATGTAATTTCCTATTAACGGAACACGGGTACCTGCTCACCATTTTTCACTCAAAAGCAATTTCATGGGAGAAAGTTAAAAAAAAAACGTAATTTTGAAAATGCGAGGGGAGGGAGAATTTTTTTTTAACTCCTTTGAATTTAGAAATCTACTTTTTGTATAGCAATTAAGTATTAGTTCATTTTGAATTGTAAATCTTTTTAAAGAAGTGAATGGAATCTTCTTTATTTCTTTCTTTTTTTTTTGGATGAAAGTATTGAGTTTATTAGAAAGAATTTATGCAAAAAAAAGAAAAGAAAAGAAACTCGAATATTTTATTTTGATAGCACAATAAAGTATTAGTCAAAATAATCAGAAGATTCTTACTATTTTTCTTTTTCGATGCCAAGTATAATGCATAAGGACATGTTTATTTTAAAGATATAGAACATTGTGATCAAAAACACTTCTGTTGATGGCGATTGCGGAGCTTTTTATGTTAACTCTCATATTGTTGTCAACATAACCCTCCAATAATAAGAAATGTAGACATGAATATATACATGATCGATAAGGAAAATTCGCAATTACAAAGAAGTATGAGGAAAACATGCATATTTATAATAAATAGTACGAGGAAAATAGATGACACCGAGAAATATTAGAGACTGTGTGATCAACAAAGATTGTTTAAGGGGCTGTTTGTTTGCTAAAAAAATGAGAAAACCCCCAGCCACGTCAGATTTCAAGAAATCCCTCCTGCCACGTAGGATTTTAGTTTCAACCGATTTTCATATTACATGTTTGTTTTATTTTGTGATTTAAAGAAATGATGGTGTCACGTAGGATACCACGTCAGATTTTTGAGAAAAGTGTTTTCACACCAAAAACCTCTGAAAACACTTGAAAATGTTATTTTAATGAATTTTTAATTACTAAAAGCACTGTTAAAACAATGAATGTGAATAAAACATATTATTTAATTGCTGAAAATACGGTTACTATTGCGGCTGATTTTTATTTTTTTTATGTTCAAACAAACATAAGAAATAAAAATCGAAACACTGTTACTATTTGCGTCTGGATTTGTTTTTTATGTGACGTGGCGGTGACGTGACGGTGATTTCATTACGAAACAAACAAAAAAATACGAGAAATATCTTGAAATCTCTTGAAATGAGTTAAAATGTGAGTTTTTCGTTTTCCATTCTTTTCGGAAAACAACCAAACAACCCCTAAACGTAATAAAAATAAAGAAAAAAAAAGGAAAAACGGAGACCTACGGGCTTCCGGTGACCCAAGCCTTAAAGTTACCGGGTGAACGCCCGCCCGCTCGCCTATATGTACGCCCTCATTCTCGCCCATTCTCTTCGCAACTTTTACTCGAGATTTTCTTTTTCTTTTTTCCCCTCAACCCCGCAGAGATTTCTGAAGATCGAAGAGGAGAAATTTGAAAGGAGGTAAAGAGCAGTTCTTTATTTTAGAAAGAAGCTCTCTATATCAATTGATACCGATAGATTTTATCTTTGATTTTCATGGCCTTTTCATAGAGATCGTCTCCTAAAAGACGCGTCTTTTATTTATGTTTCCTTCTGAATCAGCATCTGTAGCTTCTCCTGGCGCTGCTTGCTCCTGGGTTTATCGCAGAGAAGGAGGATTTTCTTTTCTTTTTAATTTTTTTTCCAATTCAAATTAATAATAAAGCTGTAATCTTTTCCGCAGCTGAAGAAAGTTGATGGGTACCATGGCAGCGGCGTCTAATGGGGTGAGGTCGACGCTGAACCCAAACGCCCCTCTCTTCATCCCAGCAGCTTATCAGCAGGTGGAGGACTTCTCCCCCGAGTGGTGGGAGCTCGTGAAGACAACCTCGTGGTTCCGAGACCACTGGCTTCGTCGGCATGACCAGGAGCGAGGGAGCTTCGACGGCGAGGAGGAGGAGGAGGAGGATGGAGCGAGGGAGCTTCGACGGCGAGGAGGAGGAGGAGGAGGATGAGGACGATGTGGCAAACCTCCTGCCTGATTCCATCGATGTCGGGGTCCCCGATGAGTTCTCCGGTCTGGGGGCCGTCGACGGCGAGGCTTTTGAATTTGGAGAGCGGGAGCCCTTCTCTGCTGGGCTGATGAGGAAACAGAGCTCGAGGGCCGGTGAGTGTCGAAGCTGTTCGTGTGTGGATTTCTCTGAGCTGAGCTTTTGTTTGTTAGGGTGTGCTCCACTTAGTCCTTAGATTGATCAGATGCGTGGTGTGAATTGAATCCCCCTTTTATCTAACAGCAGGTGGTTTATCGAATAGCATCAGGCTCAGTGTCGCGATGTTCGATCAAAACCATGTAACATGACATTGTGGCACACCAGAATCCATTTCGTCGCACGCCGACCATATGGTCAGTGTATAATGTGAACTTGCGAAAATCCGAGTTCTCTCTTTTTCGCCCCCCGCCCCTCACGTTTTAGGGGTCGGTTCTCTTAGGTCTCTAACCCTGTACCTGTGCTAGTATTGATCTGATCTTATGTTAGTCCCCCCCACTTGACGTCGACATGAATTGTTTGATTTGGTTTTATGAAAGGTTTTGAATTGATACAAACTTAGTTACCCTCGGATTCTAACACCGTCATTGCAAGGGCTTTCAGACTGTGGAAGCATGATGATATATTAGGATCGAGTTAGTTCTTCATTGCTTCTACATATAGTTTGACTTTGCTGGTGCGTGAAACAGGTGAAGGAGATGCTGAGGCGGTGATGAGGAGTCTGAGCTTGAAATCTGCAAAGAATGTAATAACTGCTGCGAAGCCTGTGCTCGAATCTGCTGCGAAGCACCGTGCGAAGCCACTACTGCAGTATGCGAGCCCCAAGTTCTTGAGCCCTCGCCGCGTTATCCTGCAACCTCGCTAGATATCTCAGAGTAAATAGTATAAATCTCTGGCCCTTGTGATGCCCGGAGTGTGCCACAATCCTCCGTCTCTGATGTAAGAGGATCTTAGATGTGGTTCTAAGCAGTTCAGTTATTAGAAGGGAAAAAGTTGGTTGCATGTAGCTACAGACAGATGCTTCTTGTTCAATTCGATATATATAAAAAAAAAATTGTTTTCATACTTCCAAACTCTTTATCATTGGTGATATTGGAGGTTTTGTTTGTGAGTTTGGCGGCTGAGCAGGTGGAAAAGTCCATAGCAAGTTTTGGATTCTTGATCTTTTTCTTGCTAAGAATAAAAAAGATAAATTTGTCAATCACAGCTCGTTTCAGTAGAGATTGCTGTCTATGTTTCCATAAATTAACACAGATGTGAGAATCACACAAAGTCTTAATCTTTTGAAAACAACGATTGCTGTAATAAACAGAGCTCCCTCAGTGATTATTGAATCTCTTCTTCTTGCGGAATGCAATAACAGATAGCATACAAAAAAAAAATTAAAAACATCACTACATAGACTGATGTAAGTGTTGAAACAATATTTGAATAGCAAAAATAAAGAAAGAAAATAATGCAAAGCCCCCTTCTCCTCCTCTCCTTCACTGGGCTGGCTTGTAAAGCTTCTCCACCATTTTCCTGAACTCTGCACAATCAAACACCATTCTTCTTATGTTAATTCAAAATAAAATAACAAATTAAGGAATGATCAGCCAAGTTCACATAAACCAACCTTCTTGATTCACCCAAAGAGCTGCTGCTTGAGCATTCAGAGGGGAGTCATTGTTCGGTTCTGCGTTCATCCAAAAAAAAAATCTCAAACCGCCCAAAACAATAATTAGAAAGAACCCCGGAAAAATTGAAAAAAATTTACCTCCCAAAAGACTCTGAATGGAGAGTAAAATGGTTCGCACGTCATAAGCCGAAGACCATTTATCCTGAAGAATATCCAAGCAGATATTGCCGAAAACATCGACGTTCGGGTGGAAGCAAGAAGTATCAAACTTCACTTTGGGGGGCTTAAAAGGGTAATCAGTCGGAAAAGAAAGGGAGAGTTTGTAGATCATCCCTTCGTACACTGTGGCTTTACTGCCTGTGATCGTCCCCTTCCAGCAGAAAATGTTGTCTCCTTCAGGAAATGCCGAGATGCCCGGATCTCCACACATCTAAATAAATTGGTTATTTGGAGAAAAATTGATTAATATTTGAGATTTTTTTTTGTGTAATTTGATAGGAGAAGAGTACTTTTTTTGAGGTTTCTTTCCTTACCATCAAGGACATCAGTTCAGACTGCAGCCTGTTTTCGTAAGGAGAATGAAACGAAAATTGTTAGAAATAGGAAGATGCAGTGATCTTCAGCCGCAAAAAAAAACATGGGTAGTGAGATGTGACCCATCTCTCAAAAACCAAAAAGAAACAAAATCGAAGGAATACCTCTTCAAGACCGATTGCCCATCGGAGCTCTTAGAAACTGGCAGCGATTGCTTAGCATTAGGCGACGGCATCGCCGAGGCAACAGCAGCATTGTTGTTGGTTATGTTGCCATCCTGAGCATTCTCTCTGTGAGGCATCTTTGCTTCTCTTCGATTCTCTCTCTCCTCTCTTTGTTCTGCAAATGATAGATCTTGATGTCTCTATGTTTCTTCTTTCTGAGGGAGAGGAGAGAGAATTGGGAGTGAGATCTTTGAGAGGGATTTGTATTGGGGGTGAGTGATCTAATGGGGTTTTTTTTAAGGGAAGAAGATATTTGAATTTTTGTGACCGTTGGAGATGCAGACACGCGGTTTTGGCTAGATTCAGGTCCTGCTCTTTCAACGGCTACTTTCATGTCTTGATCATTTCCCCCTTAGAATTTTTTCTGGAAAGACCATTTTCTTTTTAAAAAAAATATTAGCAAAATCGGTTTTTATAAAATAATTAGCAAATTCGACATCGTTTCTACCGCGTCATCATGGCCGAGCAAAAAGAGACCAATTTTATAAACTTTAGTCTATAAAACACACGGGACTAGTAGTCGCGTGTATTTAGGTGTCATTGATCACATGTTAAACTTATTCTTTTAAAATACACAAAACTATTAGTCTGTGATTAGCGCCCTCTACATACACGGGACTATCAGTCTCCACTCAAAGATCTTTATCTCTATCCACTATACTTAAAGAATTGCTACAGTCCAGTTATTTCTCCACTCAAGCAAATTACTAACTTGATCATCGGAGGAATAACCGGAGAACCCAACCCCGCTCTCTTACGATTTGCTACATGTGCAGGAAAGAACAACCCGCCTCAAAACCGAACATTCAAAAGGTTAGAGGACCTCCGTTAACCAGATCACTTCTCTCATTGACTGTTTGATATCGGCCATCAACAATATATATGTTGATCATATTATCGTAATTGTTTTAATGCTTAGATTAATAAATTTGAGCTTAATTTTGATAAGCAAGAGACTTAATCTTAAAGTCTCCAAATATAATGAACACAAGTTTATGAGCTCTCTTCCGTCATATCCGTCATAGGACTACATCTTTTTCAATTTTATTTGTGATGTTCATTTTTTTATATCCACGTGTCTGTCTGCATGTGTATATAAGGGCATCTCGAACGCAGCAGCATTTTTGAGCTCCAACCGTACCGTATTTTTTGTGGCATTTTGGAGGAGATGAACAATGAGACGTCAAATATGGTGCTGCACTGTTCCCGCGTTATTACTGTGTATTGTTTTAAACTTTTTTAAATATTTATTTTTTACCTCATAATTAATATAAAAGTAGATAAAAGGGAATAAACTGAGAATATTCTTTTTTGGTGTAAAAAATAGTACAATGGGTTGGAGATGTATTACTATTTGATATGATTTTTGCGTTATTTGATGCAAAATTTACAACATTTTGGTGCAATGGGTTAAAGATGGTCTAATATTTTACATCCGCATCCATATATTTTTGCAGGCCTCTCGCTCATAACGGGTCCATACCCGCAACCCGAAAGATATGGTAAAAGCATTAAAAAACCGCGAGCGAAAGAAAGAGACCTAAAACCCTAATCGCGGCGATCGAAGATGAAGAAGAAGAAGAGGGAAATGGAAGAAGACAGCGACGAATTCGATGACGATGAAGAGGAAGCAGTCGTAGTTGGTCAAATCCCTACGGTCTCAATCCCTCGCCACATCAAGAAGCGATCTCTCAAGAACAAAGCCCTAAGCGTCAGCTTCAGCGAGAAAGACCTCAAGTAATTCTAATTTTTTTGTCATTTTTAGGGGGGTTTTATTGTTGTTTGAGTTGAGAGTCTTATTAGCGTTTTTGGGGGTTTGACGTGGTGCAGGGATTTTGTTGGTGGGTTCCACAAGAGGAAGAAGAAGAGGAGGAAGGAAGCGGAGAAACAGCAGAAGCAGAAGGACAGGTTGAAACGCATTGAAGCACGAAAAAGGGTGAGTCTTTGTTTTCCACTGTGCGTAAAATTGCAATTTTGATAAATGTTTTGAATCCCTTGAGGTATGTTGGGTTTGAAGTTAGATAGAGGATTGAAATTGATGAAGTTAGTTGGGGAGAAGGGAGGGGAAGTAGGGAGAAAATCATAGAATTATATGCATTTTCGCATAATTTCGAATGGAAGTTAGATGCGTATGAGACCTCGGTAAACTTTCGCCGTTTGGTCAATGTGGCACTAAATGGATGTTTTGCTCTGGACTAGTCACGGGCAAAACAATGCAGTGGCAGCGTCTCCACCTGCTTGCAACTGCGAATGTGAGATTGGTTATGACAATGTTTGTTGGAAGCATTGAAGCACTCACACCTAAAAGTTAGCAGTTGGATGGAGGGAATCAAAATCTCTAACTAACCCACATAGACTCCCAATTCAGTCGACGTGGGAGTTGATGGACCCTAGCATTAACTTGAACAAATAATTGGTACTAGTTCTGCAGAAACTAGTTATTCACGTTTTATCTTTCTAATATGAAATCATATTTATACTTTGGGTGGTTCTATTTTCGTGCACTTTGATCTTTGCGTTTTCTCCTTGGTTTTACTTAAGTAGTATCAGTTGCTTTATTATAATTGGTGATTGATATAGATAAGTTGCTAGTAATATGTTGATTACTATCTGATGGGATAATACACGCAATTTAAGATGTACTTTATGGAAAAAGGAAGGTTCTTCAAATGCGTTGAAATGATTCATTATAGAATGGTAGGTAGTTCCCTCAAAAGTTGGGAGCAGTTTTGGTCAATGCGTACTATAAATGGTTCTTGTTCAAGCAGCAAAGTGTATAAATACCAATTTTCCAAATAGCAGGAAAATATAGTATAGCGGACAGAGGTACTGCTAAGCATTACAATGGTTAGGAGGAAGCCCTGGCGTCTGCTTAATGACTTTGAAAACAATTTCGAAAATAAACTTGGAGGCAACTACTTCAACATGCCTAATGTCTTGGATACAGTTCTAGGATGATCTAACTACTGTAAGTTACAGAGGATGAGTGTGTTCATGCACGAGTGTTGTGTGTGTGTGTGCGCGTGTGGTGGTGGTCTGGGGTTGGGGGGAAGGTGTTGAACATAAGAGCTTGGAGGGGTGGCTGTGTAATTTTCCATGGGGTAGAGGCTGAAATAATGATTCTAACTTTATCCATACTATTTTTACCAGTTATTCGATATTACATTTTAAAATGTATGTATGCTAATTAATTAAAGCTAAGGGTGGAAGAGGAACTATTAAAATTAGTAAGGGGTTACCAACATTTGTCTTAAAGTATCAAAATCAGGCGTATGAAACTATACATGTGCATCACATCATCTATTATCTTGCTCAAAATTTTGAAATATTTAATTAGCAGTTCAGTTGGTTGCAATATAGTTTATTATGCACTGTTATAATCAAGTAGGTTTCTATAGGTGTACAAGTGTCTGAGGTCAGACCGTCAGAGGTTTTTTTTTTACTCCTTTAATCATAAGTTGTCAATTATATTTTTTAGGGGTTTGCACTAAAACTGCGTGTAATATTAGTTAGCCTTTGGGTGTCATTGGTCTATTTTCTATGTGGGTGTTCTTGGTTGCGCTCTTACTTACTTTCCAGCAGAGGTCATGTGTCTATGAATTCCAAGCAGAATATGGCTATCCTCTAGCATATGATTCTGAGTGATGGTAGATTTGCTCTTGATTTGATTGCCTCTTCACTACTGCAACATATGCCTGCCATTTAACCTAGGCTTTGCTAAATTGCTGCCTTACATTTGTTTCAGAGGAAGCAAGAGAAAGAACTTGCTCTTTATGGTGGAGCGTTAGCGGATCCATCTGCACCAGAATTAGAACCTGATGAAGGCCCTGGTAGTGATAAGGAAGAAGATGAATGCCCCGAAACTGCACCAGTTTCTGGTATCTTACTCGTGTTCATGTATCTCTTTCTATGAAACTAGTTGATAAAACTGTTTGATGTATATGTTAACTAACTGATAACATGTAACTTGATACCCTTCAACTTATTTCTTTAGCATTTATCATCCCTGGATTTGCCATTTGACAGTTAACTTGGTGGTGATAAGTACTAACAAATGAGTTGGGTGAGAAGTGTAACTGAACACACACACACACACACATGCAATTTACTCTTGACTAATTCTGTATTTGATGATCGCGGGACATCGTTGATTTTTCAGAAACAAAGACATATGAAAGTGACTACACAACAATCACGGTTAACATCAGTGAACTCAACGGTGAAGACGAGGATGATCTGAGGCCAGTTCGTCCTCTTACAGTACAGGGTACCTTGCCAGAAAAGAAAAACAAGTTGCCTGTGAAGAAGAAACCAATGAAGATTATCAAACGACGAAAACCTCAGAAAAAAGCTGCAGGCGGCAAGAAGGATAAAAGGAAGGGCAAGAGCAAACGATAATTATCTATGTGGAATTTTTGTATTTTTGTTTGAGCTCCTTTTGTAACACCTTATGCTTTTGAGAAACAGACGATAACATTTTTATGAAAATGAATTTGTCGGGAAAAAAACCCACCCCCACCACCAAACTTTTGCCCCCTCATAAGGCTCACAGTAACAGACTGCCAATATAAAAAATAACATAGCAGCTAGAATTTTGCTTGAAATTGAAAGAAAGAACCATTGATATGTGCACTGTACAACCTCAACTCTTTACATATATATAAATTAATATGAAACAATATTTCTTATATACATTTTACACTGAGAACAAAGCTATATACATTTTTCATATTTACACAAAGTTCTAGCTACCTGATGAATGAGAAGCGGCAAGGAGAGCAGCACCTGTTCCGGAACCGTTCTCGTATGCTCTGAGTACAACATTCTGTGCAATTTGTTCTCCCAATATTTCCACCACTGCTTCATCCAAGTAATTCCTGAACATTGAATACCCAGAATAGAGACATCCCTCTATTGCAACAACTGTTCTCAGCATTTTTCCTTTTGTTCTGCCACTTCCAATACCGCCGCTCCCATCTCTTCCTATTTTCTTCAGTATTCCGACTATCCCTGCTGCAGATAAGCGAGCCGCCCTTCGAGTGACTATATCACAAACACTCACAACAAGTCTTCTTGCTTTCAAAGAGATCTCTGGCATCTAAAATATTATTATTAACCCATATGGTCAGAAACATGATTGTTTGTGCAAAAAATAGAAGTGTAAATTTCACAAACCCTCCTGAAAGCTCCTGAACTTGGGGGAGTTTGCAAGAACTCCCAAACTTTATAAATCAGACACAAAAAACTCGGAACTTGTTTCACTTACGTACCACTGATGGCAACTAATTTAGGTTGCTACATGATTTGCACATATGTTTTGTACAACTTTGCATTAAGTGCTTGTTAATTTTACTTTGAAAGTTCTTCAGGTTACAGTCGGTAATAATTTAGTCTTGTTAGCCTTTTTTCGAATAGTTCAGAGGGTTTGTATGATTTTGAAAGTTCAGGGGGTTTTCTCCAGTATATAGAGCTTAGGGGTTTTATGCAAACACCCAAATTTCAGGTGTTTGGTGAAATAAATTTACCCCAAAAATAAAGCAGTAAAACAAAATGATGGAGAACTTACTTGAAAGTTCTCTTGCAGTATCCTACTGACATCTCTTAGATCAGGAGAATCATCCTCATGCATGGCAGCCATCAAAGATGTCCTGGATATTTTAAGACAACATCAAGTTGTTCAAATGAAGGAGAATATGAAAGAAAGGTTAGAGCACTGCAACCTGCAACAATTTGCCAATTTCCCAGTTTCCACAATGAACAATCAAATTAAAGTTGTTACACTTACATCTAGTAATGTGGTGCTCATGTTAAGACAACATCAAGTTGTTCAAATGAAGGAGAATATGAAAGAAAGGTTAGAGCACTGCAACCTGCAACAATTTGCCAATTTCCCAGTTTCCACAATGAACAATCAAATTAAAGTTGTTACACTTACATCTAGTAATGTGGTGCTCATG